ACTAGGATTGGTGGAAGTTGAAGCCCTGAAGAGCATCAGGTTAGGGAAGGTTCTCTTTCATGACTAATTACGGTATTTCATTATTTACAGAATCAGCAAGGTTATTTTCAACAACATGTTATTTTGGAAATTAAAACCATTAAGGCTGATTGAATGCAGAAGCACAGGCAACCAAGAGCCAAGTTTTCAAATACATTTCAAACTCTTCTTTTAATACAAATATGCCATTCATGTCCTATACTGTAGACAATACAATGCCTGGACAAAATTAGAGATTGACCCAGGCAGACACAATCTGTATAGTGACTATTCCTTTATTAAAGTGTGATCTCTGAGCTGTCCATGATTTTTTCAAAGACAGAGTAAAAGAATCCCAATTTGCACTTTCACAGGAAATTCAAGAAAAACACACTCAAAGCGATATTTTTCCAAGTGATGGAGCACTCTAAGTAGGATTCCACAAATAGATCACTTACCATTCTGAAGGAAGCATAAGTATTAAAATAATCACAGTAAGAGATTGATGGGAATATAACACTATATACAAGCAATATTTCTACTGGAAAATATTGTAATGTTTTTAATAGATGTCTAAAGAACAGAAATATAAATATCACATAGATCAACATGCTCCCCAGTTTGTTAAGTGGTAGAAAGCGTCATACAAAACTTTTTCTCTGCACAATTTTCTTGGAAGGATGCTGCACTGGAGATTACAGCAGTTTGTAATATTTACAAACATACAAGTTAAAGAAGGATGAAATGAAGACCTAAGAACTAGCGTATCATTTGTGCAAATCCAAGATAAGCCCTTATACTTTTAACTTGTCAGTCATAACACATATTATCATCTCCAGACTAGGTGACGTTCTGATTCCAGAATTTTGAAATAGCCACTATACAAAATTTAACAAGGAAAAGTCTCTTTCTTGCTGTACGTTTTGAGTTGTTTTTATCAGAATTGTTTTTAACTTTTTTAATTGTATTGTTTATAGTTTTATGTTTATTTTTGTATGAGTTGATCTGTATATAAAAGGTAAAGGTAAAGGTAAAGGTTTCCCCTTGACGTTACGTCCAGTCATGCCTGACTATAGGGGGCGGTGCTCATCTCCGTTTCCTAGCCGAGGGAGCCAGTGTTTGTCCGCAGACAGACTCCGTGGTCATATGGCCAGCATGACTAAACACCAAAGTGCATGGAACACTGTTACCTGCCCACCGAAGTGGTACCTTTTTATCTACTTGCATTTGCATGCTTTTGTACTGCAAGGCTGGCAGGAGCTGGGACGGAGCAACAGGAACTTACCCCGTTGTGCAGGTTTGAACCGGCGACCTTTCGATCAACCAGCCCAGCAGCACAGCAGATTAAACCACTGCGCCACCTGCAGTCCATATATATATATATCTGTATATACATAAATATAAATTCTAAAGATGTATCAGAATAATTTGTAGCAATATTTCATATTACAAACAGAAACAAATGTTAGAGCAAATATTAGTTATCTTCAAACTAAACACTCTTTCGTATGCAGAAAGAATCATGTGCCTCAAATACATCTCCAGTGTATAAAAGAATGACGGGGATTTGATCTGAAATTATATGCCATGTAGACAAGGACAGTGATATTTGCATGCATAGAAGTTCTTGTGTATACTGCTAACATGATACTGAGATAAAGGCAATACAAGCAAGTTAATAACCTTTAGGAAGGCCACATGTGAACAGAAAGCTTTCCTGCTCTGTTTTAAATAGTCCTGATACAAATACAGGTATTTTGCTTTTCGGTTCCAAGCTATCTGCATTAATAACAATCTTTTAGCCTATAACATGCCAATTAATTTCTTCCAAATATAAAAAGTTCAATGCTGCTTGAAAAATAATAAATTTAAATATACTGTTGCTTTCAAAGAATATCCATAATGGAGCACAATCCTTGGAAATATGACAAAGTATAGTTGCCCTCTCAACTAACAGTTAGAAATTAAGCAGCATTTTTCAAAGTGAAGCTAATTAAGAGAATTAAAGAACTGACACCAGTACAAAAAACAATACCTCATAGATGAGAAAGAACACTCCATATTTCTACAAGACTAACACTACAGTTCTATTCCCACTTACCTAGGAATCAACTGGACTAAAAATGGGATTTACTTCCAATTAGACATGTATAAGATTACACTGAAAATGTCTAGGAGACTTTAAAAGTTTATTAAAATGAAGAGAAAAATATTTGTAAAGCTAAAATTTAGCTTTCTTCCCATTCCCTTAAAATTTTACCAAGTATTATATTCATCAGGGGTTCCTTAGACTATACCCAGTAATGACATTTGCCATAAGGTACAAACTATGATTTTGATTCTTTACAATAGAAGGAATTGGTTAGTTAACACAGGAGGTTTCGTTACCTAACAATGCCCCCTGCCAGTCACTTAGCGAAATACACTGAATGGATGACATCTTTTAAGAGAAAGAAAAATGAAAAGCAAGTGGAATGAATGACATATATGAGAATAATGGCAATAATGAAATACTTTGTAATATCTCTTGCAATTAGACACACACAAATGCCTGTCCTCTAAGGAGCTTATGGAAGCATACAAAATTGTTCTTGTTCAAATGCCTTGAAAGGTAGGTTATGCTTTGAGTTGTACCTGGTGCAAAATAAACATTTTATGATTGAGTAGGCATCCAAAGGCAGGTCCAGTGTTGCTTTATTCCCCATTTATTCCACATTATCACAAATTCACAAATAGGAACAAACTATGTAAAGGTAGATAGGCTAAATAAACCTTTTGGGAACTGCTGAACTTTTTTTTTTCTTGTTCTTGATCCTCATCTGTAAAGTAGCTATAATAGTATCTTAAATTAAAGAAGAAGTTGAACTATATCTGAGAATTTGCTCCTCCCCCCCCCGTGTGTGTATGTTGGGGGGGGTGGCTTGAATAGACATCTAGTAACCCATTATTTCAGTACAACCAGGCCATTAATGATCTTCTGGGCAGCCATCCAAAATCAATTTGCACTGCAGCCTGAAATAAATTCAACCCTCAATGATAGATTTGATTTCTGTTGTTGTAATGTGCAATAAAAGCTATTTGTATCAGCACAGTGAGCAATTACAATCAGAGTCAGCCCAGTTGTAAATAGTATGTTTCCAAGGTGAGGCAGAAGATACAAATGGTTGTAAAAGGGATTCCAGACCCACTGAAAACACTGTTCAAAGGTAAGATTAACTTTTTTCTCCAATTATGTTGAGGTGGGATGCTTCTTTGGATCGACTGAAAAATAGCACCACTGAAACAACTCTCCTTAAAGGTTAACTACTTTTTGCAAAACAGTATTCCCAAAAGTAGTACTGGAGAAGGTAAAATACCAATCATCTATATCAAGCTCATTTCAAAGTGCTGCTTTTGAGCTTTGAGCACTTCCCACCAGGTATTTATTCATATCATGATCGTTTTTCAAAGATACTTTACCTTGTACCCCCACCAGGTGATGGCAGATGGCTACAAATGAAAGTAGTGGCACCATGGTTATGGAATTTCCTTCTCAAAAGGACTTTTTTCTTGTAATCTTTTCCATGATTTAGTCTGTTAAATCTGTTTTAGTCTTTTTTTTTCTTTTCCACATTGGCATGGTTATCACAACACAATAACCCACCCTGAGGTGAAATCCATGGTTAGCTGTTGTGTCACCAAAACCTAGCCTGGTTTACCCATGATAGCTTGCTTCTCTTTTTTATACAAACCACTCTGAGCATTTGTGGGCTGTTCTAGGGGTTGTCGCTTCAGTTTTCAAATCTGGAAAACTGATCCCACAATGAATAATGACCAGTAGCCAGCAAGGCACTTGGAATAATGACAAATATTCCTTGCCTCTCTTCTCAAGCTTGTCCTGGCCATTGCCAGAGCCAACCATCCTACAAATACCCAAGCAGTACTGGCTAGTACTGGTACCCTACACATCACGATCAAGAACCATTTTCCCTCCTACACTCCACAATCAAACATCATTATCTGCGTCTTGTTTGTATTTTAAACTCTTTTTTAAGAGCACATGAAAGGTAGCTTCACCGCCACCTTTTGAAACCCCATTTAGACAGTTACTGCCTGCCTCTTCAGAGTGTACTTTAGAAGGGATGTCCACATGTTTTTAAAACATGTCCTCCTTCACTGATTTTCATAACTATTAGACAATTAAAAATTGTCTGTCAGGTTCACCATGGCTTGCTTGCAGAACAACCAATTCACAATCACTCATTTCCAGTTGAACCCACCTGCTAAGTTTCATGCTGGATTCCATTTTATTATGAGAGTTATTCAATGATAGCTTCTTTTATGCTAGAAATTATCCTAAGAATTTTTTAGAAATACCGTGTGTGTGTGTGTGTAGTGTAAATGAGTATTCATTTGCCTAGGTGGCTACATGCACGTTTCTTCCTCAGGAAGTTAAAAAGGCAGTCATCATTCTTAGGCAGCAAGAAATGATCTATTGAGGAGGGTCCTTACCTTTATCCTGACAGGTTTTTTTAATGCAGTCCCTGAGCCATCTACAAATAGTACAGACAATGTTGCCATGAATCTGTATTCATATATCTGACTGAGCTGCCATGTATAAACACACAACAATAATCATGGGCCAAAGCGGACTTTAATCAGGAATGATGAGCATATAGCAGATTTACACATTATGTTCCTAAGTGAAGAACAGCCATCTTCTGCATGCTTACTAATTTAAATTTAATATTTTTTTACAAATTAGCTACTGCACTTGTCAAATTTGAATATAGAAGGACAGTGAAATGTTTTATGGAACCCAGTCACTATGGATTACCAGTCCACAGTAACAAAGCAAATGCTGGGCATTTATTATCTGCAAAAGATGGAAGGAAGGAATTTAATGATGTAACAATGTTCTCTAAGAAGAAAACAGCTGCCTGGAGATATCTCTGTGAGCAAATTTAAAACATATTCACACTGAATTTGAAAACTGTACTCACAGTATTAGCAAGTTCCAGGTAACTTCCTCCAACTGAATTGCTAAGACTGGAGGCTTGTGTAAGCAGTCTTGGTAAGGCAGAGTGCTGATTCATGGCATTGCCTCCATATTCAAAGAGCTTCTGTAGAGTTGAACGACTGTGTAAGTCAGGACTCTGAAGGTCTCTAGCTCCAGAATCATATTCCCAACTCTCTTTAGCTCCTGAGAGTGCGCCTGGAATAGCAAACAAAAGAAAAATAAAACTACATGTTCATAATGAAAAGCTAAATAAACTGATTCCATATGTTCTTTCTCCTTTGGCAATCACAAGCTAATGGGCTTAAAATGGTTTAATTATTTTTATTGTGAAATTTAAAAATGAGATCACACCATAAAAAGGAAAAAATGTAATATTGAATGATATTTAAGGAAAAAAAGAACCACAGCACTGGTTACCTTTATATTGTATATCCCAAAATGTTTAATATGGAACAGAAAATACTTCTATTAACAATAATTATGCATATACTTCGATCCCTTATATCCATATATTTATCTGTTTGTAAGTTATGCATAAGGCCACCTATTCAAAAATTATTGTAAATTATGCTTAAGGTCACTGCCTCCACTTTGTTATCATCCGCAAATTTAGTCAGCAGACTGATTATCCCCTCGTCCAGGTCACTGATAAAAAGACTGAACAGAATCGGTCCCAGAAATAATAATAATAATAATAGCATTTCTATGCCGCCCCTTGCCGAAGCCTCGGGGCGGCTTACAACACAATAAGATACATTGAAATAAAATAGAACAGAATAAATTACCACTAAATACAAAATACAAAAAATACACTGCGATACAATAATATAAAATTAAAATTAACAGTATAAAATAAGTAAATAAAGAATATAGGAGGAGAAAAGAGAAGGAAGAAGAAGTTGCCATGGCCAGATCATATATTTTAACAATTAAAATGATGTTTAAATAAAAAGGTCTTTACCTGGCGCCGAAAAACCAGTAACGACGGTGCCAGGCGGACCTCTTTGGGGAGTGAATTCCATAGGTTGGGTGCCACCGCAGAGAAAGCCCTCCTCCGAGTACTTACTCTCCTAATTTCTTTCATGGAGGGTTCCCGGAGAAGGGACTCTCCCGCAGATCTCAAGGGGCGGTCGGGCATATAGGGACGTAAGCGCTCGTTCAGGTAGCCAGGACCCAAGAAATGAGCCATGGGGAACTCCGCTCATCACCGGTTGCCACTGATAGTCACCCTCTGCTTGCAGTCTGTCAACCATGCTCTAATCCATTGGATAGTGCACTGATCTATGCCAAAATTTCTTTATCAGGATATCATGCAACACTTAGTCAAAGGCCTTTCTGAAATCCAGGTAAACCACATCCACTACGTCCCCTCTGTCTAGCCACCTCAAGACCATATCATAGAATTCCACAAGTTTTGTTTGCAGAAACAGGGTTCGTTTGCCAGGATTTTTTGATTTAAATTGGATTTTTTTTTAATAATATGTCTTTTGAGGAAAAGTATCTAAATATTGTTTTCCATTTAAGACACATTACAATACAAGGGTTATTCATAATAAGGATTAGTGTTTAATTATGTACCATAATTAAAGGCTGTATATTCACGCAATGTTTCAGTTTCTTGGAAATGAATTTTTAGGTTTTTGTAAGATTATTGGGCATTTTTTCTATCTAGAAGGTATTATTGCAGGTGCTTGGTTTTAGAGTTCTCAAAACTGTGATTGTGTGTCTACAGAGATCACATGCCTCTTCTTCATGCAAAACTGTTATAAAATAAACACAGAGAGTTAAGGAAAAGTACCTTAATCCTATTGTTCCTTCGCAAATCTTATGTATACAGACTCAACTCCTTACCTCTTAAGTGCTAAGTTTCAAAAAATTGATGAATAGAAGATGGATGGGAGTGGAATAGACCTGCATGAGAAGCTAAGGGTGAAGACAGAGGGGCAAGCAGTAAAAATCAAAGTAAAGCCTTTTGAGAATACTCCCCAAGGCTTTGTATATAGCCTGAAGTTATTTTATTATACTTTCCCCAGAGAAAAAACCCTATAATGGCAGCAGTCTGTAAAAGAGAACCAATTTGGAAATATTTTAATGAAGTTCCTCTACCTACATGTAAGGAAGGCATGTGTGCAAATTATGTAGAAATTCATGATTTAAATCTAGTCCTACTGACTAGTGATTCAAAGCGTGGTTCAGTTTGATTTAAATTAAACCCACCCTGGTTAGGTAATATGGGGTATTCTAGTCTGTTATTCCATTCATGCTTAAGACCCTATGTATAATATTTATTCACCAATATTAAAGATTTATAAACATAAATTGTAGGCTGATTTAACTTTTCAGCCTTGATTGATACTTCCAATAACACAGGCAGCTCTAAAGCTGTAAACATGGTAGGACCAAACCTGGATACTAACAGATGTTTCAAATGCATATATTGCCATGCATCTATAGCTGACAATTTAGATTTAGCATACAAATTAGAAAATTGCCAAAAAAAATCTATCTGATCCAAAGTAAAGATCATCCTATCTGGATGATACTGAAAATCCTGCCCAACAAACATTTTCTTGCCTATTTTTAAATCCAGGTTTCCTCATTAAATTAATTTTACATGTTAAAATTAATATGTTAAACTGCAACTGGTATGAAAATATACATCACAACTCTTTAGCAGCAACAACTGGAAGGCTACTATCTACTTTGGTATGGCAAGAGTACAGTGTAGTCCACCTGGAGAGAGGATTCTGAATTCCAAAACAGACCAGGGAGAACAATCTAATTTAAGTAGAAGACCAAAATTGAGTACATGTCAACAAATAAGTCAAATGGTATGAAGAAAGGTCAGGGAGGCCAAGTCCACACTCTTTCACTGGAAGTTGCATCCTTTTCAAGGATATTTATGGTAGAGTGGACCCTCATAAGAATTCAACTTCTGAAAATACTTGCTGGGCATAAATAAAGGCATACTGTGTAAAACATATACTATCTGAGGTATTACATTCATTTTAAGTTTATTTACCCTAAACCAGGGGTCCTCAAACTCTTTCACTAGGGGGCCAGTTGAAAGCTGCTAGTGCTGGATGTGGGCCGGAAAGGTGGAGCTGGCAGTGTGCGCGGATCAGGGCGGGGGCAGCATGCGCACTGAGGCGGGGGCGGGTCATGCAGCGAGGCAAGATGAGGCGAGGCACAGGAGGGCGTGCGCGGCGAGGCGAGGTGCAGGCGGGTGCGGTGAGGTGGGGGTCGTGCGGCGAGGCAAGATGAGGCGAGGCACAGGAGGGCGTGTGCAGCGAGGGGAAGTGAGGCGAGGTGCAGGCGGGTGCGCTGAGGTGGGGGTCGTGCGGCGAGGCAAGACGAGGCGAGGCACAGGAGGGCGTGCGCAGCGAGGGGAGGCGAGGCGCAGGCGGGAGTGAATGGGGATGTACCACGAGGTGGGCGCATAAGGCAGCAGCTTGCTCGCTTGGAGATCATTTTCTCTGAGTGAGAAAACCACTGCCTCCTCGCACATGGGGCGATGTGGGCCGTGAGTGCGCGTGTGTGGGCATGGGTGCACACGTGGGCATGGCAGGACGGATCCGGCCGCCGGACCGTAGTTTGAGGACCCATGCCCTAAACCATAAACATAACTTTATAATGCTTACCTGCCAATATCCTTTGAGATCTCATTAATCAACTTATTCAAATTTAACTTAATCATGTGTAATCTGTCTCAAGACAAGAACTTCAAGATAAATATTAATTTCGGCACAGAGTCTAAATTGCCAATTAGATAGCACAGTATTATCTTCAGCAGACATGAGTTCTAACTTCAACCAGTTAACAGAATAACCAGATTAAGTGTCCAAATTAATCATCTGCATTAAGGCCAAGTTCCAAAATAAGCAACAGAAGATTATCGGCATAGAGAATAGTTTACATCCTAATGTATTATGCACAAATTCATGAATATTATGATTTTGTCTGGTGGCACAGAACAGTGGTGTTGCACATAAATCAAATATCAATAGGGAAGGAGGGCATTCCTGTCATGTGCCTTTCTCAAGAAGAAAAAACCTCAGACAAGACTCAGTTGGCCCCAACTCTTGCTCATAGTGTTTCATACAGAATTATAAACAATTTCTGAAATTCTGGAGAAAAACCAAAATTTCTCAGTGTGGCATAAATTTCCAATAAATTTTAGTAAGGGCCTTCTTCTTATTTAAACAGGTAACAGCATCAGTGGGAGGCTGCCATAGCTTGTGTCATCCAAGGCATCCTGCCATCCAACAGGCAGAAGATACAATATTCAAATAACCCTACAACTGGCTGTAAGTTATTTGAGGGTTGGTTTTCCTTCAAACAAAGCCTGGTGACAGTCTGGCCACTGCTTATATCTCATGGAAATTATTCCAACACACCATTTCCAAGTACAATTCAAAATGCTGGATTCAATCGTAATTGGTCTTTTCCTACATGAACCTGCCTGAGGTGTCAACACAGGCTACTAATGCCCTACTCTGGGTCTCTTTACTGTTCAAAGTGGGGTGAATGTAGACAGGAACCTCATATTTCTGTAACTCCACTGCTGCAATTTCCTTCCCAGGAAAGTTCTCCTGGTGCTGTATATTTAGATTTTAGCACCGCCGCCTTTTCTTCTGCCAAGGCCTTTTAGGTACTTTTGTGTGTAAATCTGATTTTATGCTTGTATTTTATTCTAAGTTGCTCTGTTGTGGTATACTATAAGTTTACCATGATTTTGTTGTTTTAATAATTTAGAAGCCAGTTTGGGTGCTTCAGCTGAATGGGTGACAAGCATTCCAAAAATAAACAAAAACAAATATCGTGCTTCCAAAAGTACTTTAATGTAAAATATGGACACAGATATGATAAATAATAATCTCCATAAACCAGTGAATGCATATGTACATTAAATGTAAAATGGGGGGAAACAACCATGTATTGTTTTGTTTAAAAAAAGATGCCATGCTGTATCTTCTTTGTGAATTACTGCCCATAATATCCATTTAATTGCAATAATATTGGAACAATCAGAGAACAGCTGCAGTGCACTATGCCAAGGCAGGAGTTAAAGGCCAAAATCTTTATTGAACTCCACACATAATGGTTATTTTGCTTCATACAATGTTAATTGTTCTCAACTACAGCTGCCCTTATACATCACTGAAATGCAATTTACACAAACTGTATTCATTACA